AAGGTGACCTAAAAACTACAAAAAATATATATACTCGGGTATATATAGCATGGCATCAAAAGGTGTCTGTCTCCAATGCTGTCCTCTAGGTCCATTTTTAATCAGTCTGTGTTAGTTGGGTAGGTATATAAGATAGTGATAGACTTTGTTCCCGGTCCTCAATTTAAATTTTAAAAAATCACTAATGTAAACAATACCTTAAAACTATTTTTAAATACTCACAAAAATGAGACATCTAAGAAAACTTATAGAAATAGACTTTGGATGTTTAAGTGTGATGTTTTGGTGGTTATTTTTAAAAGTAGTGTGGTTATAGTAAGCCAGTTGATGTTTTTATCACTGACTTAAAACATTCAAAATACATATTAATGGAATGCATAGTGTTTCCACGATCATAATTTGAAACATCTACAATAATCAATCCTGAGCTAGTGTACTTATGACATCATGTCCCTAATTTTCAGGGGAAACACCAATACATTCCCTATCTGCCTTTGCTTTGCAAACTGTAAAATATTAGTATCGGTTTCTGAAGCGATTTTACCTGAACATTAAAATTGCAAGCAAAGTTTGATAAATTCCATGCGTGGGCAGATTATCTAATATAGTGTCATACCTGTGTATGTTCTTTCAAAAAAAAAATATATATATATAAAAGAAGATACTAGTGTGATGCTCCACGTAAAGAATGACCTATGATGTCATATTCGGTGTAGCACGAGTCAAGATAATCTTTAACATTTTTATCTATTTTGTGTCTCAGTCCATTTTAAACCAAGACTGTGGAATATATAACAAAAGACATGACTGTTTCCAACAAAATGTTGTTTACTTGTTCTATAGTGGCGCTGTTTCTGACAGCCATTTCCGTTTCCAACGGATCAGACGACAAGCGTATCCTTCTCAGTGATCCACAGTATATCCAACAGGAACTGACGAGATTCCAGTCCGAATTACAAGATATGCAAGTTAAGTACAACACACAGAACACCAAACTAACTAATCTACAGGTAAAGTACAGCAGCCAGAATACCGAACTCAACAATCTACAAACAAAGTACAGCAGCCAGAATACCCAACTTGCGGACATACAGACCAAGTACATTAGCCAGAATACACAACTAGTAGACCTACAGACCAAGTACAGCAGCCTGAATACCGAGCTCGCAAATCTGCAGACAAAGTTCAACAGTCAAAACACCGAACTCAAAAATCTACAGAGTAAGTACATTACCCTTTCGCCATCCTATAACGCTAACGTAATGGCCTAACAGTCCAACGTTATAGCGAAGAAAGACGTCACAGACTAGACAAGGTTAATTAAGTAATATTCTCAATGAATACAAGGTATTTTATATATTATCGTTGCAGTTTAGCTCATTTAATATCAACTTCTTATACATCATTGCTCCTCTATTATACGTATATTGACAGGTGACAAAGGAGCTGTTGTTACAAGGTGGGGAAGACGAGACTGTCCTGCCAATATAACAACAAAAGTTTACTCTGGTAAGCATGATAAAACCTCTCATTCCCACTGGCCTAAGCTATGATAATCTAAATCCAGGGGTAGAAGACTCTAATGTTGCCAATTAAAGTCTTCCCCAAAAGATTGAGATTCTCTATCCCACCTCAAGATGGTTAACAATTAATTTTCTTTGACCCTTTCGACTATATCCAATACAAAATGCAATATTGACGTTAAAGACACAATTGTGTAATACTGTGGGATCCCCCGTTTCAACCGTAGGGTACCTTAGGGTGAGACAAGGATATCTCACAGCCGGAAAAGTGTATATTCGCCAGTCAAGGGTAGGAGACCTTTTAATATTCTCCTATAATTCGAGATATCTTAGGTATTAATTAAGAAATAAGCAAAGTGTACGTGCATTTTGGTGGAAAATGCAATAATTGTGTGGAAATGTTGGGGGGGGGGAGAAATAATTAACGAATACCTCTTGCGGCTTGAGTTGAAAGTTTCGAAACATTTTCGAAACTCGGGTTATTCTTTCATCCATAAGATACACTCATTTGTTGATTTTATCTATATTCTATCAAGTAAAATGTAAGTGAGTTTTTTTTGTCTACCTCAGTGTTCGTACACCTATGATAAGCATGGTAAATTAGGCTGTTCAATTGTACGCGCTAACATTTGTCAATTGATTCCTTTATATTTATCTTCATTTCACAGCAAGAATATAAAATGGAAACTTTAGTGTGTGTTCGCTAGCAAATATTGAAGTACAAGATGAAATACGTGTACCCGTTTTCTCGCAGCTGGCTTGCCAACATAATAAATACACCAGCAAGTGTCGTTTCATCGCAAACGTGGTAAAATGTAAAATACATGTATATGTCACATATTTGAGCACTATGAGCTAATTATAAAGATAAAGAAGGTTATACGACGTAACTGTAACTTACTTATAATAACTTTTTAATAAACTGAGTAGTGGTGGTTTTTCCTTTGAGGTAATGTTGCCAAACGTCCTTTAGTCATTATGTTTCTATTTCGAATTCATATTTTGCGTACATGTATGTGTGTTAACGCTATGGTTATGCTTTTCTCTTTAACTTTAAGCATTTTCTTTAAGGATCGCCGTACCACTGTCAAACCTAACTTCGCTTTACGATGTGTTATTGACTCTAAAAAGAAAACCATACCTTGCGATACTTTTCGGAAAACTAATAATTTAAAAAAAAAAATAAAAAAAATCAACGACATTGCTGCGAGATTAAATTACAGGATCTAACTGGTCATCAGAAGATCATTAGCATAAATACAATAAGCTGTATCTAAACAAAATCAAGATGCGGTAATTGTTTGTGGTATTCTCTAGTGTTTTGCCTGCAGAGGAACATGGGTCCTTCAATCCCTGAATACAAGTATGCTTCAGTATATCTCTCGAAACTTGACTTCTTTTGGTGTTTTCTTTGTCGATAGCAAACACATCTGATACTTTTATCATGTGTATCATCATTAAGATATGCTATTCACCGAGTTAATTAGTATAGGCTTGATTGTTTTAGGTTATGCTGGTGGGTCTCAGTATACCTCTACTGGAGCCGCAGCGGAATACGTATGTATGCCAAACGACCCTATCTGGGGACCTCACAAGGATCTGGTATATGGCGATACTGTTGGCTTCCTCTATGGGGCAGAGTACGAGGAACCAGGAACACCCGAAANATATGTAGAGGATGTACCGTGCGCCGTCTGTCTTGGTACACAACACACCGCCTCTCTCATGATTCCGGGTAGGACGCAATGCTATCCAGGATGGACGGAAGTGTATCAGGGCGACCTAGCGTCTGGTCACCATGGTCACACGGCAGCCTCACAGTACGTTTGTGTCGATGGGGACGCTCAGGCTGTGCCCGGGGGTGGTACCCATGACGAGAACGGTAAACTGTTCTATGGGGTCAAAGCGAAGTGTGGAACACTGCCCTGTCCACCGTATGAAGACGGAAAATTTCTTTCGTGTGTTGTCTGTATGAAGTGAACATGCTCTGAATACCTCTCAAGAAATTACTGATCAAATTTGATTGACACACACAAAAATATTTGGAATCAGTAGTTGAATTCTGGGTGATTATTAATGGCACCGCCAACACTCAGAGTTGATAAGAAGATATTATTACTGTACGTAAACTCACTTTAAATGAACAAACGTACACAATGTTGCCATTTATATATAATATAGGTTTTCCGACATATAATACCGAAATGTGGCTCGTATCTGCAAGAAATTAGGCTGTCTGACTAACGACATTAGCAGTGAAACACTCAGACGGCAAATGTGATGAAATTTACGTCAACAAATAAAAAACAATCCAAATATTCAATGATTATTGTGACAACGTCTCAGTTCATGAAAACATTTTAAACATTATATTGACATACCTACCTTCAAATACGCAGCGACACATCTGACTTTTTTTAAGAAATTGCAGACTTTCGAAAGTACATATTTCTAAAAGACTTATTTGATTAAATAATGAACTGTGACTCCCTTGATTGGTACATCTATGTACGCGCATTAACGTGAGAGGAAAACGCACAGCAAAACTAAGATTCGAACCTGAAACATCCAAACTTTAGATTGACGCTCGAGCCAGTAGAGCTTCCTGGTTACCGCCGATCGACCGGTCCAGTTCCTCTTTACCGGATTCGTCGATTCGGAATACATACAAGACTCTGTTCCATTTTCGAAGGTATCTTTAGTTGGTTGCCAAATATAACAGAAAATTAAAAATGCAACGACCAGACAGGGATTCGATCCCCAGACCACCGACCATGGACCTTCTAACAAATTGAAATAAATGGTCACCGGCGATTAGCCCAGTCCAGTTACGCTAATAATTTCGGTTAATAATTTTGCGGTTCCAATCAATATATAGATATATTTATCTAGAAATATATTGGAAATAATTGCGAAATGGAAATATAAATTTGCTCAACTAATTCCCTGTGAGTTAAAGCGCCGTTATGAAACAATTTTGGATAGATACTTGATGTAAGGAATGAATCAAAGCCATCCAAATTAAGCTACAATGTAGGTGTTCTGATGTCATAACCTCCAGAACTAGATAAAATGATTTCTAATTTATCATTGGAGTTTGGTGTTTGATGCTCAGTATTCGTATTTTATATGTGAAATCGTAATCAATAAAATGAATACATACAAGACTCATGCAGGTCAGTGATCGAGAAAAGACTAAGTTGTTGTTACCCACAGCATGTATCGTTAGAGGTGGCTAAGGTGGGACCCCCTGCAGAATG